CGCGATAGGAAATCACCTGAATGTATGTAAGAGTATGGGGGAAGTCGGATAAGTCAGAGTGTGTCCTGCGATGGAATGGTACGCAGCTTGTGATAGCGATGCTGAATTTCAAAAGCAGAGCCCAGCGAGGGGGACTTGAAACGCTGCCAGGAGCAGCTGTGAGTGGGCGGAGCAGAGCCCAGCCTGCCAGAACTGACTTCCTGGGTATGTAGCTGCTCCGAGAGGTGAGAGGACGCACAGGCCCTGGGCCCTGCCGCCCGAGGGAAGGACAGTGCATTTTCTGTGGCTGAGCTGGGTTTCATCCAGAGCTTCTTGGTACTCGTTGTTCTAGGGTGGTAACATCTGGGGACATTTTCATGGGGACCCTGGGGGGCTGCTGACTTCAAAGTGTGAAACCCCAAACCTTATCCCTGAAATCCAGTTAGACAACTCCTCTGCAGTGACCGAGAGGGCCCTAAGGTCACCATGAGGCTCAGGCAAGGGGCCTTTGGAAACGAAATCACAAAAGCCATGGGGCTGTGTCAGAGAGCACTGAGTCTCCAGGAGGTGCACGTGTGCCCAGGAGGTGGCCTGATGAGTGCTGCTCTCACAGTGGCCCCAGTCATCCCAGTGGCTCACTCTTAGGCCAGACTTAGCACCGTGTCCGGGCCGTGTCCAGGCTATGGCTTCTGTGGGAGACTGGGTTTCCCTCCTGGTGTCCTGAGTGATGTCGGGAGGGATCAACGGCACGCCAGTAGGTAGGCATATAGAAGCCACATGGGAGCTCCTGATGATCATAACCTGTGGATACTGCACCCTGGGACTCTTGAAGGGAGACGGCAGAGTTTATGATTCTAAAGTCAGACACTGGTCTCCATTACATGCTGCACCAGGTTGAATGGTGTCCCCAGAGCTTCAGATCTACTTAGACCTCAGAATGTGGCTTTATTTGGGAGTAGATTGTCAGTGATACGATTAGCTAAGATGGAGCCATCCTGGACCAGGGAGGGCAGAGTCCAGTGACTGGAGTCCTGATAACCCTGTGAATGCACACAGGTGATGACACAGGTGAAAGCAAAGCCACGTGAAGACAGAGGCTGCCACAAGATAAGGACACCAAGGATGGTTGGCAGCCACCGGAAGCCAGAGCAGGACCCTGCCTAGATGTGGAGGAGTATGGTCCCCGGACATCTTGGTTTTGAGCTTGTTGCTCCAGGACTGTGGCAGCAAACTGCTACTGTTTAAAACCAGGCAGCCGGTAGTACATTGTTGCAGCAGCTGTAGGAAGCTAATATGCATCCATTCATAAAATAACCTTAATTTAAAAAAACTGGTTATATAGACAGACACACACATGCTCACATACGTGTGTGCACAACCTGGGGAGGACATGGGAATTGACACATTGCATATAAAAGCATGTGTAAAGTATTATTGGTGGTCATTTTTAATGGTAAGGGTATGAGTGATTTTTACGTCCTTTTTTCCCATCAAATTTTCCCGTTTTTTTGTTTTTGTTTTTTTCTCTTTTGGCATACTGGGGATTCAACCCAAAGTGTTCACACAGAGCTACGCACCCAGGCCTTTTTATTTATTTTTTTAATTTCAAAACAGGATCTTCCTAAATTTCCCAAGCAGAATTTGAGTTTGTGATCCTCCTGCCTCAGCCTTCCAGCATGGTGGGATTACATGTGGGAGCCACCATGCCCACCTCCTTCTTCAGATTTTCTATAAGTTCTGACTTCATAATCAGGGCTAAATGAAGATCTAATTGATGCTTTTGGTAGATTAGCACCCAAATCTATAAATCAGATTGATTTAACTTCCATTTGAAAAAGTACTTATGTTGGTGTTTAGCCAGTACTGCCCCTCAGTAATATTTGTCTTTCTAAGTACAGCTATAGTTCGCTTTATTTGATTTATGTTTTTGTTTAGTTTTCTGTCAAAAGATAATCCTCATCAAGTTAAAATACTTTCAAGCTTGCCACAGTTCCCTAGTGTTTTAACTGTTTCTCAATTCTTCCCTGAACAATGTTGTGTTTAAAGCCAACTATCACCAGGGGTCTGGTTTTCTCAGGAATAAACCAAAGCATCTCGATAATGGCAGCCAGCAGCCCTATTCTAATCTCTCTGTGTATGTTGGCCTGCAGAACCCTCTTCCATCCCCAAAATGCCCACTTGTGATGGTTTATAGCTAGATAGCCCCAAGAGCCTGTGCATAGGCAGGGCTTTTGAAAGGTGATGGAACCACAGGGAGCTAAGCTAGCCCTAAATGTGCTGTGGCCCAGTGGGCTGGATGAGAGAAGGGTCACTGGGGCAGGGCCTCGAAGGGGGGCTCTCCCTCCAGACTCCTCCCTTTGCTCTCTGCTTCCTGGACACTATGACATGAAAGCTTTCCTCCTCCAGGCCCCTTGGCCATGCTGTTGCTTCTTTGGAGAGGGCCAACTACGGACTAAACTATGAGCCAAAACAAAGCTCTTCTCCATCAAGCTGTGAGCATCAGGCATCGTGTTTTGGTGATGGGGAAGGGACTAACACAGGACAGTAAGTGTTTACCCTGGCAGTGAGGCCCTATTATTGCCCACCCCCCAAAAAAAAGAGGAGACGAAAGCACAAGAAGTGGTTAGTGTGCCTGAGTCCACACAAGAGAGTAAATGCCAGGGCTGGGATTTGAACCATGCTCCATGCTCTTAAAGATCCCGCCCCACACAGCCTGCCAGGAGAATGGGGAAGGCAATACATCGGGTAGGCTCCTCCAGGGTTTTTTCAAGTCTTTTTTATAACCTACAAAGTAATGTGGCAAAGAGTAAGATGAGTTTAATGGATTGCTCGGAGTCCTGGACAACCTGTGGACAGTGCTCACATACGAAAGGGCCACACAACAGGCAAAGTCCCAGTCAGAAAATCAAAAGGCAGTGAGCAGAGCCCCAGGGCTCAGATTAATGATCCCTGACCAAGAACCTCCCCAGCTGCCTTCCTCTGCCCTGAGGACCAAGTCTTGATGTCCTTATGGAGACCCCCAAGGGCTTGTCCACCTCCCCTAGGCCATAGGGTCCTTCCTGCCCCTGGAATATTCCATCTTCTCTGTGACTCCAGGGCCTTCCCTCTGCCTTAGAGCCCCCCTCACCTCTGATAAGAAATCTCAGATTAAAACCCCGCCGCCTCAGTGAGGTGTTTCTGAACGCTGGTCCACAGCCCCGGATGCCCTGTGGTTTGGCCCTTCAGCTACATAGGTGCAGGGTTCTCGTTGCCCCACCTTGCTGATGCTCACGGCTCTAGTCAGCATCGGATGTCTTGGTGCTGTAGGGCCAGTGTCTAGACAGCAGCATCCAGTACAAGGCATCATCTTAAAATGTTTGCAGACTGAACTCCTGACTGCAGACAGACCGAGAGGAAGTGAAGACTCACCCCTCCGTGCACACATGTGCTCTGGGCTTAAGAAGTTGACAATTAGTGAAAATAACAAACAGGATACACAAATCACAATACTGTAAGCTTAACAGAATAGCTGAAGCTGTACAACTTAGTAGTTTAAAAAAAAGTTAATTTTGATTATTTCTTTTGGAGGAATATCAATAATTTCCTGAAGCAACTGAGCCACAGGTGTAGCTTAAAGGTAAGAATCCCTCTCTTCCAAGGCCAAGGTCGTGAGCTCTGACATGTTTCTATGTTCTATCCTCGCATTTGGAGAAATGCTTCTGGCTGTGGTGGAGACACACATGATGGCTAAGTGGCCAGGCTGGCTGAGGCTAAGGTGGGGAGACACATCTCTGGTCTCTCCGACAACATTAGGTAAGGCCAGGAGGCTGAGGCAGGAGGATCACAATTTCCAGGCCAGCCTGAGCTACATAGTGATTTCAAGGTCAGCCTACACTACACAGCAAGGCCCTATCTCAAAAAACAAACAACATCAAACCCAAAGAGCACTAGGGGAGTACCAAGGTCAAGTCACACAACCAGAGCCACCACCCCATGCTCTTTCTACAACTTCTGATGAATTTTGCACCTGGTCTCTTGTTGAATATCAGAAGGAGTCGTTTTTACTTCAGATGAATTCTTTCCTAAATTCTTATTCTCAGGTTCAGTATCTTCCAGATCTGTTGAATTTTCTGTGCTACAGGCACACAGGTATCTTGGGGGAACACCTGGGCTCTTAATTTCGCTTGGTCCTAGCCACTGCCTCCAGCCCTGCATTTATGAGTCTGCCTTTATCCACAGTAGCTGTGTACACTGCAATTCCTTTTCTTCCTTTATTCTGCTGTGATAATTGCACATTTGGGGAAAGGCATCTGAGATACCAGCATCTACAAAACAAGCTAAGAGAAAGGCAGTTTCTTGGGGGCACTTCCATTAATTTAAGTCTTCACTCTGGTAGGCATTCCTCTGGCTTCTAATTTACCGCTGGAAAGTTGTCTCTCTTACAGGGCTGACCAGAATCGGCTCTGTGACACCATTTACCACCACAAGGTTTCTTTTATTCCATCACATTGCCTTTCCTGGTGGGGTTTACCCTCACTGTCTTACCACTTGCTCTGTCTCCAACCGTTTGCAAGTTTTCCACGCCGGGAGCGGCTCGTTGAGCTGTCTCTGATCATCTGCAAGCAAATGGGAGAGGCAGACTCCGTGGCTGTCGCCGTCTCCATCTCAAGGTTTACTTGCGTTTCCATGACAGTTTGGGTTATGAATTAATCTTCCAGTCTTCAGGAGTACACCAGGATTGTTGATGCACCTGTCACACCCACACACGTGTGGAAATTTTCAACAGAGCTGTGTTGAAGTCTCTAACATCTGCCTCCCGTCCCGGCTCACCTTGGCGCACCACTTGCTGCCCCTTAGCATTGTTGGTTTTAAGTGAGAAGTAATTATTTTACAGGGTAGATTTTCCAAGGTAGTAATTTCACTGTGGTTGTTATCCTTTTCAAATGGGGTTTTTCTTATTTAGGGAAGAGAAAGAGAAAGAGAAAAGGGGAATTCCACGAAAAAATAACAAAGCAAGGAGTAGAATAAGGTTTAAAACTCACCCCTCCTCTAAATTTAGAAGTAGTTGCCACAATACTGTCAAACTTCATTGCCATTTGCAGTATAGGAACGGGATCATCAATTAATCTTCCTAGTTTCTTTGTGCCTGTATTAGAACACTGGTTCCATGGGAACGGTTGTCAAGGAAACTATAGGCAGGGCTCTTCTAGAGTTCACTTGGCTGGTCGGTGGCTTTGCGGCTTGGCTGTGTCCTGGGGTTTCTCTTAGCTTAGAGTTTTGTCTCGATTAATATAAATAATCACCAGAGTCACTGGGTGCTTTGGTGAAAATTTTTCTTGTATCTGCAGTATATCTTGTGAAGAGGCATTGATGAAATGAGGCTGACATCTTGTTCCCCAGCTGGGTTTTAATTGCTGTGCCTCCTAACACGACTCACTAATATTATGTACAAATTACCACCCCTGAAGACTTTTGTAAATGGATTTAAAATGATGTCCTAATAAAGGATGAGTCATGAAAACTACCACGAGTTTTCAGTTCTGCAAAGATGAAACTTGTGGTCTGAATCCTCCATTTCTCTGCAGATTATGAGTATAAGATTCATGGGTGAAGGGACTCTTCACTGTCTCAGTATGAGTCTTCAAAATTTTCAGCAGTTTTTGGATTTTCCTTTGCTGGAGCCATATCTCCTAGTAAGGGTTTTCAACAATTTCTCATTCCTTCTGTTTAGGGAAGATTCACAATAGTCTATTATTTAGCCCTACTCAGAATGTAGCCATTCCCTACAGTCGTATTTGGAATGAAATGAAGAACGTGGAAATTATGTTTCCAATACCGTAAGACATTAGATCCTAACTCAGTTACTTTGTATTAATACCATCCATCCATCCATCCACTCCCTTCCCTTTATCCATCATCCAATATTTACTTTGAAGAAGCCTCCAGTAATTAAAAAAAATGTAACTTTAATGGGAAATCCTGTGGCACATCTGACTGAGCTGACTACTTTACTTGAGCTTTCCAGTATTGCTAAGAAGGTACTTTTCTTGTCAGCTGGCTGCAGCCATGCAGGCTGTCGTCCTGGCAGAGAAATGTGATTGTACTCAGAAGAGGGCGTGCTGAGCTTGGATCAGAGAAGGGAAACCCAAGTTCTCATGCATGGGGGACCTGAGCTGGCCTTAGGTCTCGGGAGTTGGGTCATCCTTCCACACGTTCAAAGGAAGTAGGTGTCCCTGGGCCTGAGGAGATAATCATGGCCCAGGGCACCCTCCGTCTGGGCAGGATCCTCAGGCTGGCCCTGTGCCTGTGTCGTCTGGTGCGTCTGCCCATCCCCTGTCCCCTTAGGCACAGTAACGCTTAGTCGGCATCTGCAGCAGCTTCAAACACAGCACCCACAAACACAGGGGACTTCACCAGAGCCAACGTCCTGATATCTGGACTGAAAGAAACTTTTGGCTCCATCCTTACAGGGTGCATTCCTATAGTTGTATTCTCTCTCTGTCTCTGTCTCTCTCCCTCCTTTCTCTTCCTCCCTTCTCTCCTTCCTTCCTTTCTCTTTCTTTTCGGTACTGATGATTGAACCCTTCACACTGAACTACATCCCCAGTCCTTTTATTTTACATTTTATTTTGAGGCAAGATCAAACTTTCAATCTTCCTGCTTCAGCCTCCCCAAGTGCTGGGATTGCAGGCACGTGCCACCATGCTGGCTGATACTTTTATTTTTAAAAGTGTTCTTTAAGTTCAGAGAGAGGACATTACTGAGTATGGCTTCCATTTACAGCTCCCCAATGGAATCTTTTTTTTTTAATTGAGTTTATTGGTACATTTTAGGGATACAGTACAGTTACATTCATTGTTGGGATCTTGTACCTCTACATGACAGGTCTTGGTTCTCATTTTTTCCCCTTGTCCCTGCCCTCCCTTCACCCCCTCCTCCCCTCCCCATTTACAAATACTTTAATTCAATTTTTTTCATTTTCTCACATTTTTTTCTTTTCCCTTATTCCCTATTGAAATCTTGATGTTTCTAGATAACACTTGGAGCTTTTTTGCCTTCAGCTGAAACCTGTCTTTGCCCCCCACTCCAAACTTATGCTAAGAACCATATATATATTTTTTTGTATTGGCACCACGCCCTGAAAGCCACCAGCCAAAGACCAAAAACACTACAATCTGACAGCGTGTACCTCTGTAATATCTTGTTGGTCACAGCTAGTCCTGAGACTGAGTCACGCATTCACAGGGTAGTCGGGACCTGTCTGTAGTGCCCATGACGCATCCTGTGTATGGGCCAGGGGCACAGAGGTGGTTTCCACAGATAGGTCACAACATCCTCCTGTTTATTTCCTTGTGCAGTGACGTTAAAACTCACCCATACCAGAGAGTGAAAGGTCCATTTTCAGTTCAGCTTATTTATTTATTAAACACCTACTGTATAACGGGTTTCATATGAGGCATGAAATGAAAAACCTTGAAAAAAAATAACTGTTTCTTTTTTTTTTAACTTGTTTCTAATATAACCAGAAATTAGTAGATCAACTTTCCTAGCTTAGCAACTGTACTGGTACCTGTGAGTTACTAGGGAGAGTGTGGAGATGAATAGGATATTGTCCCTGCCCCTCAGTAGCTTCCAGTCCATTGGAAAGCACACAACATGTGTGTGTCCACCTAATGTGTGTTCAGTGAGCATTTATGTACCTCACCTATTTCACTCTGCCACACAAAACCCCTGATGGTTCCCCTGAATCTCACTGGTCCCTTTCCCATCCTGTGCTTGGCTCTTCCGGGGGTGCAGGGTCAGGAGAAGTGGGAGCAAAGGGGGCTGATTCCTGAAGCAAGGATCTGGAGGACACGGAAATTAAGGCCCTGCCTAGATTCCAGAGTGAGTGGGGACAACTGTGCTGGCGGTAGTGGGGACGGACGTTGAGCAGAGAGCTCCCTGGCTCTGGGCCAGGCCTATGTGGAAAATATAGGATCAAGTTTTCTGAACCCCCAAAGAAGACAAAGGACTGATAATAGGCACAGTTTTGTTAACAGGCCAGAATGCCTGGCATTAAAATGGCTCTAGGAAATGTGAGCTGCATGTTCAGGCTCTTTGTGACGTATTTGTTATAAATGAAATTAAAGCTTTTTAAAAAAAATTTGTGGCATTCACCCCATCTTGAGAGAATGAAAACACACGTGAAGTGTTGCAAAGGCAAGGGTAAGAGTTACCCACATAGCTTCTTCCCAGAAATGCACCAGAGAGCCCTGTCCTGAAGACACAGGCCTCACCGCCCAGTCTCTTCCCTCTTCTGTGGTCGCCTTGCTGTCACCACACAAACACACGGAACAGGCCCAGTGCCTGGCCCCTGGCAGCAGTGACTCTGAGCTCCACAGTTAATGAGTAGACTTTGAACCTTTCTCATGCTATGCTGGTCTCTTTGCTTCAATGGCTTGGGACATTTTCTTCCCATTGATGAGGATTAAATGTGCTTTTCTAAAGCTCTGTTGAGGGAACCAGAGTCCTGCCCTGCTTACCGCCATCACTGTTCGTTCCCAGCCTGATGGCGCCTTCTCCCGCCAGCGCCAGCATACCCTGCTTTCTTAGGGACCCACACTGAGACCTGGGGGACCCTGGGGAGGGGCGCTGAGGAGACTTGGTGAGAACCTGGAGGACACAGAAGCCACATGGTCTCGGAGCCTGGTTTCTCTCTGTCCACAGTCACAGGGCAGCTTCTCCCTGGGGGCTGGGAGAGCGGAGATGGGGAGCAGCTTTACTAAGGCACTCTGCTCCTGGAGTCCCTGGAAGCGGACTTTGGGAGGAACTGGGGGTGTGAATGAGTTATGGGGGGATGCTGGGGAGGACCCAGGAAAGATCTGTCTGTGATGCAGACCAGGTCCCAGGGAGGGAGAAGGCAAGAGGAGCAGGGCAGGGTCCTCAGAGCACAGGGCAGATGGGTCAGATCCTTAGCCCAACAGGGCTGGAAACAAAGACCAAGGTTAGAGGGGTCCCCATCATGGACAGAAATGGCCAGGCCAGGAGTGTGGTATGCAGCAGCAGCAGCAGCAAAGGTGACAAAATAGATTTTGGAGGTTGGAGGTGGTTAGGGGGCAGGGCTGGAGAGAGGGGGACCGTCTCCATTGCCCTGACACTGAAGTAATGTTGTCATGGTGACTGTTGAAGATGCAGCCAGCCCGGGAGAGGAATACACCCCTGCGCCTCACCCTCTTCCCTATGCTTCATCCCCACAGCCTCCCTGGGCAGAGGGCAGGGCAGAGCAGAATCAAACACAGCTAGTATGCAGGTGGCCTCTGGGAGAAGCCAGGTCTCTCCAGGAAAGAGACCCCGGCCCAGAGAGAACTTGAGTAAGGAGATGACTCTCTGCCTGGCTCGGCATCCCTGAATCATTGTGTGGCTTCCATGAGATTCTTCTTCATCTCCTCAGCAATGACTCTTGCCTAGGTTGGGGAACAAGTGACATAGAATGTTGGAGGTGAGAGGAAGAGAGGGAAGGGGTGGAGAGGAGGAGGAGGAAGGAGGTGAGGGGAAGGACAGGATGGGAAGACCCAGGAAGCAGAGTGCTCTCTCTCGCGCGCGCTCTCTCTCTCTCTCTCTCTCTCTCTCTATCAGAGACTCTGGCTCTTCTGACTACCTGATCTGAGTTTGGGAGGCCACAAAGGCACCAGTTTCCGGAGCCAGCGCCCCCTGGAGGCTGGTCACATAGCTGTGCAGCCTGCAGTCCTGTCTTCAGCACCCTGGGATCCCCCGCAGGGCTGTTCAGGTCCTGTTACTCCCCACAAACATCACCTCCCTCCCAGCTCGCAGTCCTGGCTGTCTGTAGGAATCTACCTTGTGATGCTGTGTCGCAGACATCCTGGCCACAGGAAACATTTGTTCTGCGATTGAGGAGTGGACAATGTAGGGCAAATTACTTCTGGCAGCAGCAGTTAAGAATTTTTTAATGATGCGAACAGGACTCAGCTAGTGGTGTTCAAAACAGGCCTGCTGACGCTGAGTGGAACAGAGCAGGAGCTTCTCTTCTAACTTTCATTGAGTGAGACATTTGATTTGTGCTTCTATTAAAAGGAAATAGTATGTTAAATTGTTTTGATGATGTTTGACCTATTTTCAGAGAAAGAATGCAACTCTTTTTG